ATAGATCAAGACAGCAATGGAAGCCGACCAAGCCAGGAGACATTGCAACCGACTGTCATGCCGAGTCCTAGTCCCAACGAGAGCAGCGGCTGGGACTCACAATCTGTAGCTCGAACAGAAACGACCTTGACTTCGACATCTTCTTATGCAACCTCACAAAACCAGATGCCATTGACGCCAACATCACAGTTCTCATTTGGTCTACCTCCCATGGCACCACCCCCAACCGCCAAACTGCCTCCGATTCCACAGGTACCTACTGCACCACCACCCCAGATCAGGCGCTGGTGTGGAGGAGGACGACCCATCACCAAGTGGAACAGGCTTCGAAAAGACCCAGAGCTTTGGGATCCTAATGGAGATGTCCTAATCTACCTTGGAAAGAAAGGCCAGAGCTTGCCATCGATGCGCGTTTCGTCTCATATCATTGAGGCGATCAACAGTCGGTACCTCATCTCTCTTCTGGATGAGGGGTTGATTGACGGATATACGCATTCTCCGTCTTCGCCAAACGCTGAATCCTACGGGAGGAAACTTGGTCAAGAATTCCGGAACTCACCACTAACACCGCCTGCATCTGGACGCACCAGCATTGGAGATATGGGAGGACAGGTTCTTTATGAGATGCATTTCCCGCCTCCACAGAACATGAAGAGTATCGATCAACTCCGCCATCAGCTCACAACGCGCAACTTCTTTGCCATGCTGCTCAACGCCTCGATGGTGGGCTTGTCATTACACGAAGCTCTATCTGATCTTCACGTCAGACTGGATAGCTACATGCCTCCGAATAACGACAATGTCGGCCAATTGGTGCGGTATCTCTATAACCGAGATCTTGACGATGTGCGAAATAATCCTGCTCTGGCAGTGTCACTCCTCATCTGGTCAGAAGAACCTGATGTGCGGTGGGAGGAAGGATGGAGGGAGTGCTTCGCGCATTGCGTGGGCATGTTTGATCTCGTGCAAAAGTATAAGGACTTCAAACAGATAAACACAAACACGAGAAAGCTTATGGAGATGGCGAGTCACGAGATGCAGTATCGCGTTCAGGCTGCAGAGGAACGGCTGGCTGGCTTCAGGTACCAAGACATCTGGGCCTTCACCCCTCACACGGGATCGGAGATGAGGGCGATTGAGAGGTTGAAGGACATGTTGTTGCGGCACTTTGAACAAGAGTATGGAACATGGCCACCATCGCTGTCTGATAGTCGATCTAGCCGTTCTGCCGGCTCCTCAAGACCCGAAACCTGGTTGACTCGGACGTTGGCTATGAAGCTTCAGAAGGACTTTGGAGAGCTGTACGATTGCATGGTCGACAGAGATATCGTCTGGGGTTCGTTGGATATACAGTTTGGAAGCAGATTGATGATGATGTCAAAGAGCAAGAGGAGGGCCATTGATGCAGACACGAGGGAGATGCACTTGACGGATATGCTTATCGACTTTGACAACAAGCACCGATTCCCTCATATTCCTCATCCGTTTCCTTTACTGCCCGAATCGACCTCAGCTGCTGGTTCATTCCGAAGAGGCATCACAAAGACTCGAGGCGACCAAATGAGTGCGCTGGAGGAAAGGATACGACTTGCTTATACTGAAAACACCGGCTTCGACGAACCGGAAATCAAACTCGCTGATGCTTTTGAGCGCTTTGAGAAGACCGATGATATTGGAGACATGGATCCAGCTACTGCGAGACGTAGTCGCTGGATTCTTATATATGGCATCCTTCAATCACTAGCTTCCGTCTCTGTAGACGACGAGAAGGTGCAGTACAACGACAAGGTCGATTATCACTTATGTCCGAGACTGGAGGGAGCAAAGATACCGCCATGGAAACGAGGAACAAGCGAAGGCGTTGGCCAAGGAGCGCACGAGAGATCGTACTGCTGGGTCGCAGAGACAGAGCGAGTTACTGAGGGTGTTGAGTATGGAGACGACGTTGATATGAGCCTGATCAATGATTTCCCGATTCAGCTAAACTCGCCCGGCGCCGCGGAGGACCGAAACACGGCGTCGGGTGGGTCTCTCGGCACGGGCTTCATCAGCCCAAGAGTTCGAGAGAGGATGCGGAGAAACCGAGAGAATGAGAGTCCTGTAACGACGGACTATGGGTACACGTAGACTTAATTAATTAATACTCTTTTAATGAATAAGGACAGACGATTTATGAGCAATTGGACCCCGCTGAAATGCCATAAAATCAGATCGTACCTGTTGATCACGATCCCCAGCCACCGATTTAAAACATGCTATACCCGCTGTTTCAATGCTGATCTATTGCGGATCTGCCGAAATAAGAGGACATGACTGAGCTACCAGTTCGCATATCAGTTGATCTATGAAACCTAAGTACGAGAAAAACGTGCGGGACGGCCCAGGGCGCCATGCATAAGGCGTGCTTGATGCATGCTGTAGTACTCAGATTGTCTTGTGTTCCTGAGTTAAGCGACGATGGCGATGGAGATGCATGATTCCCCAGCCACCATTCGAATCTGCGACACTTGGAGAATAATGCTACAGTTGTTGACTGGGGGTTTTTCGTAATTGGTTGGCTGGTTATTCTCGTTTTGGCTGTAAGTCTCTTGCTGGTTGATACCCAGCCAACCTGTTTTCTGTATTTATTACTATTTTGGGCCGTGTATGAGCTTACCAGCCTCTTTAATTCTGATGACGTCGCAACGTGGAAAGGGTCTCGACCTGTTTACTATGCTGGCCGTTCTCTTGGCTAAATTGATAGAGGGAGTGTGTGTGTGTATCTTGTCCTGATTTGCAATACAATTGATCTGGATCAATCTTCAATTGCTGTTGGCCTGCTTGAGTGCTTGCATTGCTAGTGCAAGTCGACGTCATGCTCCAATTTCGGCATGGCCGGTGAGAATCGAAGCTGAACAAGCTGCAATGAAAAATGTCTGGGGGAACGGACGACAAACTAACGGAGATGAATCAATCTACGGAGCAGACAGCGCATAAACCTTTCATCTCCATTTTCAGGCTCGAGATGCAAAAAACTCGTGAACCCGACGGCCCTAGAAGAAACCAGTCTTGATCGCTAAACTTACAAGGGTCTAGAGCCACAAGGTCCCCTACCCTCTAACGGCCCAACCACTAACATCCTGCAACTACAGGGGTGGGCCTTTGCAAGGGTTATCCCACCCATTTCGGGCTCCAGCTTCTTTCTGGGCGTGCGTGGTCCTGCGCCATCTATTTCTTGAGCACCAACCACCTTGAATCGTGGGTAACAGGACCAAGGATGGGAACAAGTTTGGATGCACGATTGCTGTTGCTGTTGCTTGCGTTTGCATTCGTGGGAGCTACAAAATAGAGCTTTCTTCCCGCACACCCTCCCTCCCTCCATTCTTTCTCTCATTCCTCTTCCTCTATTGAATCTATCACCAACTTGACTTGACTCAGTCTGATAGCGTTAACTTGTATCTATTGCTTGAATCATTTGTCTCACTCACTCAAGCATCGTACAAGTCCCCCGCGCACGTCATCTCTCTCAGCTCCCCGCTCCTTGAGCGCATTAACATTACACCCCATCTTATCATCTGCGACTGTCGTGCGATTTCATCAAGATAGAGCTGCATAAGTTGTTCAAGACCGCCAAGATGTTTTTCGCAATGTTCTTCGTCTTCTTTCGGATCCTTCAGATCCTCACTCTGGTAGGTAACAGGAATGCAAATGTCCCAGATCGCAGGCTAACAGACAATCAATAGATCCCCTGCATGGGTATGCTTGCCTGGTTCGTCGATGGATTCGTCAAGCAGAACGCCCTGACTCCCGATTCAATCCTCATCCTCTTTATTGTCTCGGTTCTCGCGCTTGCTTGGGCTATCTTCACCCTCTTCAGCTACCACCGCTCCTCGACAAACGCCCACTTTGTCGCATTCGTTGATGCCCTCTTCTTCGGTGCCTTCATCGCCGCCGTTTACTACCTCCGCTACGTACGTAACACCGACTGTGTTAGCATTCGACGTGGCGACGACTGGGATCTCTCCGCTGGCGATGTCAGGGTCATCGGCCCCAGCTATGACCTCGTCAACAACAAGCCCTGCTCTATGCTCAAGGCCTGCTGGGCATTTGGCATCATGAACGTCATCTTCTTCGCCATTACCTCTGTCGTTGCTTTCATGCACGGCGGACACATGAGCGCCTATGACCGCCACCACTCTTCTCGCCGTTCTTACCACTCCAGCCGTCACAGCCACCGAAGCCGCTCCCGCTCTGGCTCTCGCTACAGCAGCCACAGCCGCCCTCACTCTCGACGTGTCTACGTTTAGGAACCTTATCCTGCCACTGCGCTTCGTAGGAAGCACAGACTTGAAAAACGAGTATTCCGGGGGACACCGCCAGTTTGCTTTTCTCGGCAATGCATCCATACTCCACTGCAACGTATGCCCAAGTACCACAATCAATACCTTGGCCCAATGACCCGCGAGATCGCAGCCTCGCCAGCTTTTCCGTTTGTCCTATGGCACTAGATATGGGCGCTCGAGTAACAACACATCGTGCTCTGCGCCAGGGATCCAATCCTTTTTCGCCCCATGAATGACTGCGCATGGGGAACATTATGGGAAAGGGTCAATAGACCCTGTTACGATCGCCGCAAGGAAAGCGGCCTCATGCATTATGACTTCTCCTAGAACATATTTCTTATTCTTTGGAAAGGAATCGTATGGACTGATGACGACCAACATGATACAATGTTGATGACGCTTCTTTGTCTCCCGTGCTTCGGAGGTGGATAATGAAGCTCAGGTAAGGGAAGGGCTAGGATTAGATACGGGTATGCCGCAGCATAGGCCCTGGAGGCTGCTTCGGTCGATGATTCTATTGTATATAATATGACTTCACTGTTACATGAGTGACGAAAAGAACAATGAGCGAGCCACCCCAGAATACATCTTTTGAACCATGAATATTTACCCTTTACTTTTGTCTACATCCAAACGCCTTGTTATGCTAAATGGTATCACTTTTTATGTATCCTTCCCTCAATGTTTGTCCGATTCTCCGACTTGATAGCCTCGAGCAACACCACTTCGACCCTCCTCGACTAATGTGCTAGCTTCATTGTCGAAATCGGTGCCCAATCCTTGCCATGTGCGACCAGAGCGAAGGAACTCGGCTCCAGGACTCGCGACACCGTTGATGCTCGCTAATTCTCCGACGCTGCGCTTGATAAGAGCATCATTCTGCTTGGCTGTACCGGCGGGACCGTCGCCGATCGCCTCCGTGGCGTTGGTAGCAGAGGGGCCGTTGCGAATTGGAAGTCTCATAGGTCGACTTGATGAGATGAGCTTGCCGGTACGCATGTCAAACTCGGGAGGAGCAGATTCCTCTCCTTCAACGCCTCCAGCTACATCATCAAGCTGATCCTCTTCTGGCCCGGCGGTATCCTTGGACTCGCTGACCGCATCTTGAGGCTTGTCGTTGAGCCCAAGCTTCTCTATACCACCCCACCACTCGCCGCCCCAGACTCGTTCATCCTCGCTCATGAGGGCCACCTCAAGCTCGAACGGTGTGATGACTGGTCTCCAGTATCCAGCATCATCTTCGACCAAGCCGCTCTCCCAGCATCCGACCACAACCCAACCCTCAATCTCAGCAAAGTTTGCCAGCTTCGCGGGGTTGAGCTTTCCAACGACAATAGTGTAGCTCTTCTTATCCGCACGAGCGATCTTTTCGCGGAGCGTATTGATCGAGCTGAGGTAGTTTGCGACTGAAAGTGTATTCACGAGGATACCGATCACACCGGCGGAAGCCAGCGACAGCACCTTCGCAAACCGGCGCCGAAGGAGACCTGCTGTGCGGATGGTGGGGTTCTCGAGCGTTGAAGATGGCGTGGCGAGAACATGTAATGAGGCGAATCGTGAGTATAGGGCGAGAAGAAGTGCAGAGGGCGGGTCGGAGATGTGGATGATCGAGTAAGCCTTCCAATGTTCGTCGTCATGAGCTTCGTCGGAGAGGATCTTGCGGTTCGGTATCAAAGCGGCAGGGTCGCGTGTGACTGCTGTGGAAACCACATCGGTATAGCCTTCGTCTTTGAGGAGGGAAACCACTTTGTCAACGTGATTTTGATACGTCAGATCGGCCATTATGACCAACTTGACAGTCTTGTCGCTGAACTCTTTCTTGATTTCCTCCAGTGTCACCTTGTAATCGAGATCGTGTGTGGTGTAAACGTATATCGCAGGGAGATGACTCGTGGGACTCAGACACGTTCGACCATAATGAACTACCACCTCTGCTGAAACATGCTCTGCAGCTATCTCGTCAACACAGCAGGCGCTGTAACTGCTATCCGCAAGAATGTATATCCTCCTCTCAGCCTTGCCCTCCTCCTGCGCATCATGCGCGCTGAGTTCCTTCGATAGAGCCTCTACAGCACGAGGGGCGTCTACCAACATAAAGTCCGGGAACTGTAAACCGATGCGCCTCCATCCTCCAGTGCGGATCTCATCTGCTGTGCGAACAACCTCGTACGTTTCGCGGAGGGCATCATCGGAGAGTATGGATTTGGGGATGGAGTCGGCGGCGGGAACTTCGAGGATGTGGTCGTCGGGAGTTGAGAGGACGGGAGGGGCCGAGAGATCGGACGCCATCGCTGGAGAAGGGTGAGGGTGTGGATTGGATGTGAAGTTTTTTGAAGGTTGGTGATGATAATATTTTGGTGGGGTTTTTGGTGATGGAGGGGAGCGGGTGTCAATGCGGGGTCATGGTGTGGATTTTAGCAACGTGGGACCCGACCACAGACATCTTGCAATAGAAGTTATAAACTAATCCGTAAATCGACGGAAATCGATATGGTACTGATGAAATGCTGTAAAATTTGCACTGCTAAGAAGCTATTGCTATCGACGGTTTGAGAGAGTGTATCTCCCGTTTTGGCTGACTGGCTCCACGACATCCAAATCACGAACGAATCAAGTAACCCGTCAATGTAATCACCGCTACTCGTCAGCTGGGGAATGAAGAGCTCATAAATATACGAAATGCCTACTTGGTCGAAACCAATGAATCTCATCATTTTTTATATCAAACCATGACTCGGTAGCGTCTTGAACCTGACAGCAGAGTGGCCGGCTTAGCGTGTATCCTTAGGTAGTGTCTGCTTGCTCATGAATACATGGAGGTGCATATCACATCTCCTAGTGAGCAAGTAAATGATGTGCTCAGTACAAGGTAACTTTGATGTATTTAACCTGATTCTTCAAGGCAAGATCCGCATCTAACAAGGACCAAACGGCGCATGTGAATAACAGCCGCAAGTACCAAGCCTCTTGATCACGAACTGCCGATTAAGGTTTCCGACCTCGGGCTACTACCGTCCCGATGCCAGTGAAGAACTGCCGAACGATATAACGGAGAATAAATATCCAGAAAACTTGCGATTCTCATCTGATTTCAACTTCCGACTCCTGAATAACAGAACTGAAGTTACAGTCGTAGTCTCGTCTACCCTGGTCTTGTCTCGATTAGGAAATCCGTGTACCCAGTTTGGTAATCAGTGTATGCATCGTCAGTGAGAAATACTACGATGCTGTTAGTCAACATCCATCCACAGCATGTTAGTAGTGAGCCACTCCTTTATATGAGAAACTCGTGTGACTTTGAGTGCGTAAGCTATGAGAGGCTAATCTTATATAACGGCATCTGCCGTCCTTTCTCTCCTTCTCCAACACAAAACATAACCATGGACGACTCATCACATCAACATCACTTTCTCCAAGGCAAAACCATCATCATCGCTGGCGGTGGTGTTTCTGGTTCTGCGTTCGCTGTTGGACTACGCAAATTATGGAATCCCCAGTTCAAAGAGCCCAAGATCATCATCTACGACCGCGACTCGCCAGACGTAAGCGCTCAGCGTGAAGGCTACACATTATCTCTCACCGGATACGACACTTCTGGAGGTCTCATTGCCCTAAAGAGACTCGGTCTTATCGACCAAATTGTAGACAATGCTGTTTCTGGTCTCAACGGAGAGGGTGCCTTCAAGATATGGGGACCCAATTGGCATGAACACGCAAGCTTCCGCCATGAGCCAATTGAAGAGCTGCCATCATCCAGCGTCAGAATAGCACGCAAGGATCTTCGGAAGGTCCTCCACGATAACCTCCGACCGGAAGACTCGGTCCAGTGGAACTCACGTTGCATCTCAGCAAAGCAAACGGACCAAGGACGAGTGCGGGTTCAAGTCGCGAGTGGACAACCCGGCAATGAGACGATCACCGAGGAGGACTGTGACCTGCTTATTGCCGCTGATGGAGCGAACAGCAAACTCCGAGGATACCTCAGACCCAATGATAAACTCGAATTTGCCGGTGCAATTCTCCGAGGTGGTATTGCTCGATTTGACGGAACTCCTCCAGCGCCCATCGACAAAGATTGGGGATTTATGCTCTCAGGAACCGGGGTCTCTTGCTTCTTTTCTCCAGTTGACGAGAACAGCGTTGTATGGGGTGTCGGTAATCTCGAAAGCGAAGAAGTACCAAGGTTGGATCTTAAGAATGGCGAAATGGTACAAGGGGTCATAAATCGCAGTCTCAATCTTGGGGATAAGTTCCAAGAACCCTTCAGAGACATTGTGCAAAGAACAGATACAAAGACTGTGTTTGCTATCAACGCAAAGGACAAGAAGGCGTTCACTCATGACGATATTAATAAGATGGGCGTCATTTTCATCGGCGATGCTAATCATGCTGTGACACCTTTTGCTGGCTGTGGAGCGAACCTGGCGTTATGTGATGCGTGGGATTTGGCAGAGGCGTTGTGTATGAGCGGTTCATTAGGGGAGGGCATATCAGCATACGACGGACGGTCTGAACCACGGGCGAGAGGAATCCTGGAGCGAGCGCGTGAGAAGTTGAAGTCAGGGCATAAGGGGAGATTGCAGCTTTACTAAGATAATTCTATATCATATAAGCATTGGTATTCATAGGGTTTGCTATGAGGGGGTCCTAGTAGAAGTATATGCAGAGGCTGAAGACTCAAGTCGTATTAGATCCTGGGAACTAGAATGTCGAGCAGAACACACAACTTAGGTGAAATAGACCATAAAATCAACATAATTGTCCGCGGTGAAATATAAAACCCATAATTACCCTCGCCAGCCCGAGTACCGCTCATAAGGCCAGCCTGTATCAAGACGCCTCTAAGTGAAGCTGCAATCACGTTCCTTTTACGAGTATTCCTCCATTCACACGAGGAAGTAGCCTGACATATGAGCGTCGACTTTATGAACCTGTTGAGTTGCGTGTATCACTGCAGAGGGCGCAAGTTCGGGCGAGGAATGATTTGGTGAGAATCCAGAAGAAGTTCCCAAACCTGGAATACTTGGTCTCACATTGTAGCACAGTAAGGTGTTGTGGGAGAAAGGCGGCTCGGGCCGTACCTAGGGTGGGTTGGCGAGGTGTTCCTAGAGATGACCGTTGTCAACCAACCCTAACAAGGCGGGTTTGGGCTTCATGACCAACGCCACCAGTAGTTACAAAACCTATATCTCCCCTACCTTGGACAAGGAGACTTGGTATAGGCCCATATTGTAAGCGAAAGTTTTCGAAAGATCGGGCTTGAGCCTCGCTATCAAGTTTCACCAACCCCAGGGTGTGAAGGTGGCAAGGTTGGGGAACAAAGAGTTATACTACGATGAAAAAAAAGCTCGAGTAAGTACACTGGCCATATTCGTGACACTCCCTACTTATGTTCTAAGATACCTGTATTTTCACATTAGAATACAAACTCCATTTCTTCCCCATCAATACTGATATCAACGCGTTCCAGCCCCTCTTCCTCCTCATCTAGCGCATCAGCCCACGTAACGCTATCTTCATCCATCTCTAGGACGACCTTGCCGTTCTTAACTGCATCATAACCACCGTCAAACTTATCATCACTCTCAATCTCTTCCTCTTGATCACTTTCTTCGTCGCTACTGGGATCGCTCTCCTCCGACTCAGATTCGTCATCTCCACCATGTTTCTTCGCAAAAGACTGCGAAGCCGGCAAATCTGGACCCTTTTCTTTCAACATCATACCATTGCTCATACCCAAGAACGACTGGACTACCGATCTCCGCACAGTCTTGTACTGAAGAGCAAATATGTTACTCCCGGCGCTTTCACCGGAGAACTCAGCTGTATTTTGGTGACCTTGTGACCCGGAAACCCCTGGGTCAGTCAGTTCAGAGGGCAGCATGACGCCTGTAGTGCTCGATACAATCGTGGATACAGGCACCGAAACACCGGCCGAGGTTGTGACCCCGCATTCTCTGGAGTGTGTGAAAGTTGCATCTTGCCAGATGAGCACCGCGGTAACCATGAAACCAGCATTGCCACCGCGAGCTAGCATCCGTTGAAGCTGAGATCTCGTCTCCTCATGCCGTATCAACCGATCAAAAACTTGATCGTAATTCTGAAGACGTACACAGACGACCTCGGAGCTAGTGAAAGAAAGACCCCCGCCATTACTGGTTTCTCGGGAGACGTCAACCGTTTCCCCGAGCTTAGCAGCGAACGACTTGTTCCGCTGTGATAATGCAGCGAGACTGGCGTTGGCGATGGTGCTTCTTGCAAATTCGTGTGTTACAAAGGGCTTCGGATCATCCGGCACAAAATTTGCGTCTGGCTCGGAATAGGATTTGACGATCCGGCCGAGCCAGGTTGATAAGGCCGATGCTGGTAGATATCGTTCTGGGGGGAGTATATAGAACGACGGTCGAGCTTGTTCAGTAGGCATGATGATAGTGACGATGTTTTGATTCTGTTGATCGACTGCAAGGGCGATATATGTAACTAGTACAGAAGCAATTCCACAGATCACAAGTGAGGACAAGATTCCGAGGAGAGCACAGACCGATTCGACTGCATTTACAGCTATCCTAGGAGGGCTGAAAATCATTGTAGATCATTGCTGCCCTAACCCCTGCCCGCGTGGGCCCCGTCTACTAATTCTCGTATATAGTCCCAATGAGGCTCAATCTTTATTCGTTTCTCGTCAGTGCAGTTCGGCAAATGTGCCGTCCTGCAAAGCGAATAGCGGCAACTATATATAACTAGGTTTCGCTTCTTATCGAACAGGAACGTGAGAGGAAGCCTGCTGAACAAAATCACAAGTCAAAAGCAATAAAATGATCACTATCAATATCGCCCGGGGGAATGTTGACCCTTCCCAATCCGAAGACCTTGACGGTTCGCATCTTTTCGACGTCGACATCACTAGAGACGACGGCACATATCAAACCGGATCTAACACCTCAATTGCCATCCGACCTCTCCTTCTTCTGGCAACTGGTACCCCGGGCCATATTGAGCCCCCATGGGGCGGGGACTGGGTCAGCGAACATGTGCAGGACATGATGAGTGCACTAAAGGCGAGGATGAACTCTCCATCCGACTTTTGCGGAGGAAAAGTAGTCATTCGTATTGCAGAGCAACCCTGGTTCAACAATAACAACTCTGAGGATCACAACACCGAGGACCACATGCCTATGCAACGCGTTCTTTGGGAGTTCCTGGAGCGGCTCGAGGCGTGGGAACCTACGATGCGGCCGATGGAGGTCAGCGTGGTGCAGACACTTGCTATTGGCACTCCCAAACTTCTCGACCAGGACGAAAAAGAGAACGAAACTGCTGGCCCGGAGAACGAAGGGCAAAGGAGGGTTCTTGTGTTGTCATGCCGTGCTCCTGGTCGTTCCGCTCATTCTAGCGAACTGTCCGGCCCAGTCTCGCGTACCATTCTACAAGCGGCAGGAGATTCTACAAACGCCATCTTTATACGTCCTGGGTCTTTCCGCGCCTTGAAGACTGAGCTTGAATTCCACCCTAAAGGCTACTTCACGGCCATTCATTTAGACATGCTGCTTGTCCACAAGCGCCCTCGAAAGTCTGAGCCTGGAACTCACAGAATCTACTTCCAATTCGTCAACCAAAACCAGTCTGAAGTGATAGATGATGACCTGAAAGCGGTCGATAAAGTTGCCGCACTACTTCTGCTTCATGGTGTTCAAGATGTTGTCATTGCTCCCTGTCCACATGCTAGGTCCGCCGTCGAGACGGCAGCTACAGTACTTTTGAGCAGTGGTATACGGGCCGTGGTTACTTTGGCCTATCATATCACTGAAAGTGATGTCGAGGTATTCCTAAGATCGCTCTACACTGGGTACATTCATGAGAAGCTCCCCTTGGAAGAAGCCGCTCGAACAGCTCGACGTCACTTGAGGGGAAGTCAAGGAGATGAGAAGCCCATTTGTGATTTCGTGGTGCTGACTTATGTCAACTCGGAGTGGCTTCCATCCACCACTCTCAGCGTTGCCTGCAAGTCTGTCGAGCAAGAGCAGAGCTATCCTAACTCTCTGTATGGGCGAGAACATGACATTGTCCATATAGAATCCATACTTTTACTTGGAAAGCCGCTGCCGCTATTGATCTATGGAATGGCCGGCATTGGAAAGACGGCTTTGTTGGTTCATTTATGTACATGGTGGAAGGCTTCGGGTTTGATCGAAGATGCATTCCATATAAGCCTCAGCCCGAGCGAACCTTTCAATAAGGATAACATGCTACAAGAGCTACAAAGCCACTTTATTCCGAGCTCTATTCAAGACTCAGGAGACACAAGCTCTTTGTATGGGTATTTCGAGAGTCACAAATGTCTCATCGTGATTGACGACCTCGACTCAGCGAACTTCAACCGACAACAAGGCCAATTCATGAATCTTACCTTCAAACTATCCAAGTCTGGCGCCCTTGTCATTCTTGCTTCCCGCAAGCGAGAGCGATGGCTGAGTAAGGCAAAAGTATACAAACTTTCCGGGCTTCGTACTCGACCAGCGACTCTGTTGGTGATGGATCCCGAATTCAGAAACCGTGTCACTGATGATGACGACCCTCCATCTCCTGAGACAACGGCGAAGACCAAGACACAAGAAGAGAAAGATTGTCTTGAGGCTGTTGTTGAGATGGTAAATGGAAATCCTCAGGCTATAGAGATTATGACTCAAAGCAGGCTTTACTGGTCGAGAGCTCCGAAAGGCGTATATTGCTTCTTACTCGGACTTCGTTCAAGCCGCCATGCCACACTTCCTGCGAGCTTCGACACTTCGGACACCGACGATGAATCTGAAAAGCCAAGCAACAGAACGCGACTTGAGGGTATACATGAGAATCTGCGAAGTATGGACTGGGGCGATGGGTTTCTACCCATATTACTTGCGCCATTCATGGGTGTTCTGCCATCGAGAGATCTCCTCACCATCTTCTGTATCTGGAGCACAAGAGTGACCAAGGTTCTGGGAAAAGCTGCATCTACACGGCTTGTGCGCGCTGCCCTCAACTCGGGTGCATCTTGCAGTGACAGGGTCAAGCTCACGGAAGATGCACACCTCTCCATAGAAGCTTTACTAAATGCTGCTAGGGTAGCAGAACCTGAGGAAGACCTGGCGTTGGCCAGCTCTAGCGTTCTGTTCCATAAAGACGTCGAGTTTTCCGAACCATCGTCACCCACTGGCAACTTCCTGACCACCATGTGTGACCGCGTTCAAGATGGGCTTGTTGATGGTGGAATGCTTGAAGAGTTCACTGAAGTTTCGGATTCGTTGATCCAGACAGACCGAGGGATTATGCAATTGAACCCACTGGTTCCTTTGCTTCTCAGACAACATCCAGCCTATAAAAGCAACTCCTTTTCGCTTCAATCGACAGTTAATGAGGCATTTGTACTATACTACTGCTATAGAGGGAAAAAGTAAGTCAACAGGATTCCTGGTAGAGGTATTCATTGTTGCATGTCGTTTTGCTAACCTATCAACAGATGGCCTTGGGACTGTTGGGAAGATGATCGCGAATGGGGAGTAGTTGACCCGGAGATCGAGCTTGAATTCGACAATTTTGCATCTGCCTGCATGACAGGTCTTCTGCACATCGACCTTGACATAACACATCTTATGGGACTAATGCGAATAGCCGCTGTGCTCGAGCATGGTGCTGGCGATAAGTTTTACTACAGAAAGACTATACTTGCCCAACTGTGGACTGTCGCTCTGGCCAAAACCCTCACAGAGCTGAAGAAGCTTCAAGACGAGGGTCGAAGCCGTCAGACCGAGATATACATGCTTTTGTTGACTGCTATGTATTTCAGCTCTGAACTTGGTCGATTCCATGATCTTGACCGCGAGTCGGACGAGGTGGCCAAGTACAAAGGCCTTATCGCCCAATTCGCCGCGTGGGCCAGCAAGATGGTCCCGGAGAACATCGAAGTAAAAGCAAAGAAGCATAAGCTATCAGGGAGAAAGGAACTTGAACGCCTGGCTGGATTGGCGGCGGATCCCGATCAAGATATCTTGTACTCGGTCCGGGGTCAAGTCAGGCGCGTTTTTGTATGGATTTCGAACCCTTTTGAGACCAGCTCCTTCGTGGGACCAGCAACCACTACATCGGTGTCAATTGATGTTGACCTGGCTACTGTGTTGTCATTCTCCATTGAAGTTCGTCGACATATGAGCCTGGTTAATAATGCTGAAGAGGCAGCTAAGAGAGATGATTGGGCAATGGCTGACGAGGCGCTGAACAAGGCACGTGAGTTAGAGGTAAATGCTATAGAAAATGATTGCACGGGTAGGATTATGTTAATCCAACTTGAGAAGATAGTTATAGGAAAGCGATAGGATAGCGATAAGGTTAAGGGGGTTATAGGTTAGCTAATATATA